ATATATATATATATATGCACTTTAACATATCAACACTTATTACAAAATTGGGTTTTACATTATTTATAAACTAAATATCCTACTTAAAAAAAAAAAAAATACTATTAAACGAGGATACAGGGAAATCTAATTGTGACATATTACTTTTTTTCAGTTAATCTTTTGTGACACTTGTTTTCCAATTAACCTTTTCGCGGCGGAGTTGACTATCCAAGACAACACAAATTTCTAACAAGTGTCCTAAAGACATCCAAAAGACGTCTTGCACTTTCAGACATTTTTAGAACCTTCTTAAGAAATTTGTATTGTCTAGGACGCTATCGCTGTACGGGAGAACGAGACGCGCGCATGTATTATGCAGCAGAGCCAGTGCAGAGATAAAACAGAGTTTGACCTTCAGGCCAGAAATACACTTCTCTTATCATTAGAGTAATTAGAATATCAGACAAATGATTGTTATTATTATGCACCCGAGAGAAAGATGTCTTAACAACGTTCGTATGCGATCCAAGAGCAGCAACAAATCTTAAGGCCAATCACTCTATTAATTGTCGATTATAAAATAGAACATTTCCCAAGTGACAGTCACTAATCTCAATCGATGGCTGTTTTGCTCTGATTGGTTGAAAAGTAATCGCCAGTGTGATTGGCCTTTACACACAGGAGTGGCCATTATAATGGCAATTTCACGGGCGACCACTATAGCAGATAAGCTCGTCGCGAAAAGGTTAATTAACATCTCGAGACAAGAATTGCAAAGGCTTGAGATTAGCGCAAGACAATGAAGGGATAGTTTATGACATGTAGATAACAAACTGTGATAATCGAGAGCTGCGTTATGCAACGATATCCGCTAGACTTTACAGAGACACGGATTTATTTTCCGAAACAGCCACCTTCCTTAATCAATCGCTGAGAAGACGAATCATCACAATGTGCGTTATCCCTCAGTGAACGCGGGAATGCTGCGTCTCACGATTGTACGCGTTACGTCAGTTCAAACAAATTGTTTATTTAATTGGAAGCCGTGGCGGTCGCGTTTGGAGCGGGAGTAGGAGCGGCAGAGGCCGACGCGGCAGTCTCTTCCGTCACGACACGCCGATTCTTCTTTATCCTCTTCCATTCGCCGTTCATATAATTCATCTGGAAGTGGGTCTCCACCAACATCTGAACGGTCGTGCCATCCGCCTGCGTTACTTCTTCTACGTTCTCCGACAACATCACTGTGACTATGTTACCCAATTTCGGGCAAGGATTGTCTGCAAGCGAGGTGAAAAGCGGCATTATTGACATGCAACTTGCGTGAAGGGGATGCTTTCCAACGAGAGACACAAGACGCGAGTCTAGTTATATCATCATGTCCTTATTTCGTATTTGATAAAGAAAGGAATAACAGATGAATACAATGAAACGTTTGTGTCTCCTGCTCGAAAGAGCAACCTTCGTAACTTGAACAAACGTACCCCTGGAGCCGGCCATGAAACCTAGGATGAGGGCTTTCTCAGGACGCGTTACTTTATTCGCGGTTCTGAACATCTCCTGTGCCTCCAACATTTGTTCTCGCTGTAATTCGACAGAGAGGTAAACGGTGAGTGTCTCAAGATGCATATACGGACACACGATCGAATAGAACGTCGCGGGGTTACTCACCGTGAGAGACAGGCCTTTTCTCGTATTAGCTGCCGCACCGGACTGCGTGGTGGTCTGTATACGAATCTGCGTGACCGTCTGAGTCGGTCTGATCGTTTGCACGGCGACAGGTGTGCTCTCCACAGGTGTTATCACCGTTGTCGTAACTACAGCTGGCGGTATTACAGCTGTAGGTGTAGTAGGTGTCGTAGGTGCTGTTATCGTGGTAGCTGTATATCACAGAAAACCTCGTCAAGATCCAAACGAGATTACGCAGATTCTTATATAGGGGAAAAAGTGCCGTACTTCGTACCTATTTTATCTTGGGTCGATTTCAGCATTGTCTATTGATTTTTTCGCTTTGCTAATGTCATAGTCCATTATGTTTACCGCCATAGATAAGGACTTTGGCGGTAAACATAATGAATTATCACATTAAAGGCTAATCTCCGATTAGCTTGATCGGCCGATTATTTCATTGCAAATGACCGATTGCATTAAGCAGAATTAACCAGAATTAACCAATCACGGTTGACACTCACATCAGTTTCTATCATCATAGTTTAAATCTAAACGATAATTAGCTCAACGAAATCGACCAATCACATTGATCGGTTCAACTAATTAACCAATGCGATTGGTTAATTCCGTCGAGTTAATCGTCAATTAGATTTAAACCATGATGGTAGAAACGGGCATTAATCGGTCGATTAAGTTAATCGGAGATAGCGAGAGCAGCCCTGAAATGAATAGATCGCCGGATAAAGCGCTGAAATCAACATCGACGGGTCCAAGCACCTTCCCTTAGACTAGGTATTGTCTTACGCGTTGTTGGTGTAGTCGTGACGACAATGTTGCTCGGTGTATTAGGCGCAACGTAAGACTGTGCCACGGTGGCCACTGGAGGTGCGACCGGAGTGGCGGGTGGATTTATCGGAGCCAGTCCTTGCGCGTACTCCGGCGTCACCGGAGTATCGATGACCGGCGAAGCGGCCGGAGCCGTGGCAGCGGTCGTAGCCGTCGCTTGCGCCTCTGCGACCTTCTTCTGCTGCTCCTCCAACTCCAGCATCTTTTTCCTCTTCTTCGCCTGAGCGTATCCGAGAGGTTGTTCATTAATGTCCAACAACTTAATACCACCGTCCTTTCGCATCCTACTGCTAATCGGTGTCCTGTTGGACATGGTTGAACTGGTGAGCGAAGAGGAGCGAAAACCGCTCGTCGGGACCCTGCTGGGAATGCCTTTGAGGGGCGCTGGAAAGTTCAAACACGCGTGAAATATCGCTGATTAAATACATACGCAGCATCCGCTGCCACCCAGACAACCGTAACAAAAAAAAAAGGTGAGATAGTGACTGCTTTCTGACAGAAAAGGTAACAAAAATAACTTCTCAGGCATCAAAATAGTGACGAAAAGTAACATTTATTGTTAAATTCTGAGAGTAATTAGAGCCAGCAAAAACAATTACTCTTTTAGCAAAAACATTTATTCTTATCTTCCCAAGTTTGTCTTTGAATAACATAACATTCTTTTCCTGGTACGGTTTAAAAATTCATAACAAGGAAAGGCCAAGAGCATGAATAAGTACGCTTTCGTAACAGTTCTGGTTAAGAGAGATGGCAAAAATATGTATAGAACGTTCATATCTTACAAATTTAACAGCAGCTCAAGAAAAAAATGGCTGTAGTGATTCATTTTGAATAACGATTTGTTTTAGTGACTTGTCGAGAAAAAGTAACAAAAAGTGACTTAAGTAACTGAATGGCAGCACTGCTTGTATGGGACAATACATAAACGTGTACTCGGAACTGTATGCTTACTCGTATCAGTCATTTTTCTCGGCATTCCACGGCTTCTTACAGGTACAGTGGGAGCTGTGCTCTTTTTGAAATTATTAGCAGCGTCTGTACTCTTTTGGAGTAATTCTTGTCTCAAGGCTGCGCTCTTTGGCTTCCTCTTAATAGTGAAGTGTTTGACCGGTGTAGGTTGCTGACCTACCACCGAGGCCAACGCAGCCTTGTTGAGATAGTGACACTCCAGAGGAAGCATAGCTGGATCGTTCTGCTTTTTCAGCAGTTTCCGCAGATCATTGACCAACTCGCCAAAGATTGGTCTGTGTTCTTCTAAGTCGCTAATGTCCGTATTCAATGAACCTGTCGATGGGAAAGTCTTCATCGCTTCGGATAACATTGATACCCATAGCTCCCCGTCCAATATCGCAACCTCAATAATTTCTTCCAGTTCCACACGCCACTGTTAACATCAATTTCATAAGTAACAATAATCACAATTCTTCATGAAATAAATACAGGATGTCTACGTCAATTTGAACAAAATTCCCTGATTTTCCCGGCAATTTGTTAAAAATTCCAGATAAAATAAAAGTATTTTTAAATCTATCTCGCAAATGAATATGTATTTATCGTGCAAAGTCCCCTTAATATTTTTCATTCCCAAAAGCTTACAAATCATAAAATAAAATTAAGAATCACATAAATTTCAATGATTAAATTTGAAAATCTTTGAAAAAAACATTATAAACAAGAATTCTGTAAATAAAATCTCTAAGAAGAAATATTTTATTTTGCATAAAATTTTATTTCTAAAAGTTATTACTAAAAAAATCATGTATATGTAACCGGTTAAACTTTTATAAATCTATTAAAATATCTGTTTTGATTAAACAAAACTGCACCTAACACAAAATTGTTATTTTCATTACTAAATATTGAATTAGTCATTAAATCAGTATGCTGCTCTAAATATCAGAGAAGTATAATTAAAAATTTAAATTATATATATATAGAGAAAGAGAGAGAACATATAGAGAACATATAGAGAAAGAGAATCTATTATAAACACAAAAGAAGTGCTAATATTTAAATATTGAACAGAAACTTAAAAACCTTAGATGTATATATACAGAATGTTAACAACTTCGCACCATGATTTATAGAGTGCTATTCCTTATTAACAGAATTAATTGGAAATCAAGTCAAAAGACATGAACCATCTTTTTCTATAATTCTTAGTAAAGGAAATATTATTAAGTAAAATTCAGTCAACCACATTATATTTGTCTATGTATAACGCGAATGATACACTTTGCAGACAGCCCATTAAAAATTGCCTAATTTCCAATAAAATTCCCTGAGAATTTCTCGATTTTTCCAAGCATAAACAAATTCCCTGAGAATTCCAAATTTTTTCCAGGCGGTAGACACCCAACAAGTATCAGAGGGAGAGAAAGAAGAGAGTGATGTACATTTGCCTACGCATACGCATGTTTGTTTACGAAGTTTCCTCGCCACAGGAATGGAAGGAGCGGTAAATTGCAAAATGTTACTGCAGATTACGAAATGTTTATCCACTTGACAATCAAAGAAATCACAGTTTCACCACGAGCACACGCTGCAACACACTCTACACGGGGGGAAACTTCTGTACTAAACGTATCAAAAACATCACGAAGAATCGAGAGAAGTAAATAGATGGCGGGTAGATGATAAACGTTCGACGTGTCGCTAATTTCACGCGTGCGACGAACAATCGTGTCCCGATCCGAGAACGGCGTTCGCCGTGTCGACGCGACGACGACGGGCTAGAAGACGCGACAAAAGCTGGCGCTGGTCTTACCTCCTCGACATTCCGTCTGGGTATGTGGAAGAACGAGAGTAGCAGTTTGAGCTTGACCTGCGTCTGCAGGTCGGGAAAACAGTCCTTGATGTTCCGCAGAACCTCGGCATTGAGCTGCGAGCAAATCGAACTGCCGGTCCAGCTATCGTTCGACGTACCGAGTTTGTTATGCAGCCACAACGATGTGTCCCTGCTGTCCCTCGCGTTCGCCATATTGGAAATGTTTGCTTCTCACGGTCGTCGCACCTCGCCGCGCGCCGCGCCACGTGCGCTTTCCCGCCAGAAAACAACGCGCAGGCGCCACGCTCGCAGCGACGCAGCACTTCCAGCGTTCGCAATGGCGGGCGTTTACCGACGGTGGAGCGAAGTGCGCATTTGTTCTCCGATTGGCATTTGAATTTTAACAGGACATGACAAACACAACGAACGGATTGCCGAGCTCACAGGAATCGGCGTTGTACGACGAAGAGACGTTCTGCGAAATACAGTCGGAATTGTAAGTAATATCTTCGATATTCATCGAAATCTACCGACTACTTTCGTTGGCGTCCTTTTCACGCTCAGTCTTTGTGCTGTGATATATGATGTAGTCCAGGTACTTAGGACCTCGACAGAATGGCTGACCTTGTAATTTTCATCCTCGCAACAAAAGATAGAGATCATTCGTGATTTCCCAGCACAAGATGTTTATTATTATATTTTTGAAAATATTTATCATTTCATTTGATTTTTGTGCCTTTGTTTTCAATCAAATCAGAACAGATATTCTTATATTTTACTTATGATCTCACCTTTTTGTTTTTGTTCACATTCTGTTAACATATAAGGGCGATTGCATATTACTTAAGATAAAATTAGGGCTTGAAATGAAAAAAAAAATCAAATATTCTGCTAATGCCCTCACAAAGAACTTGCTATTGCTATCTGTTGTATTATCTTATTTCTCTTTTTTTTTTATTAGAAATAGCAAGGGCTACAGCTTATCTTTTTTATTGGAGGATAAGGAATTATTTGACATGTCAGGACAGAAACGAGGCATATCTGATGTTTCTGACGTTGAGCAATTAACATTTACAAAGGAGTGGAAGAGGGTAAAGAAAGAAGAAGCTGAGGAAATGTATACTCCATTACCAGAAATTACTCAGCAATTGGACGATTGCTTTGCTGGTCAGTTCAAATTCAGTTATATCTTTGCTGATGATGGTACCGGTCAAGATTGGACTGTAAGTACTTCACTGAATTCAGCATACTTACATACACAGATAAATGTAATACATATGTATTAATACACATGTATTGATACATAACATGTGATAAGACATATTTAAAGAGTAGCTACATAATTATAAAAGTAGTAGCTACATAATTATAAAAGCTTTAAGTTGGACTATATTCAGCCTTTCTGTCATTTCTTGAGATCGAAGTTGAATTATCGAATGACACATAACTACTTGCAGACTAATTCTGCCTCTTGATGATAAATATTTTCAAAGTCTTTACTGTGCTGGTTATATAACTTTCATAGAAGAAATTCCATATAAACTGCAAATACAAATCTCTCGAATATCATCTTACAACATTCGCGAAGCTGAGAGAATACCGAAAGTAAGATATCTTAGTGAACCATTTTATGCCTTGCTATTGAAATGAATCGTTAATGTCTCACAAAAGTATTGACGAATCTGCTTAAATCTAAACCAGGTTACTGTAAATGAAATTAATCTACTGACTTGACCTGCAAAATCATGTTTAAGCAGATTTTATGTATAAGTACCTGTGTAGTAGATAGACTAGATAGAAATATGCATGACTTAGATAGAAGTGTGCATAACACGATCTTAAAATTGATGTGCAATGAAGTAATATTCCCTAAATTAGGCTCTATGATTGTTTGGATACGAGGTATTTGCAATTGTTTATATAGCATTAATCTAATCCTCCTTTGTATCGCTCTCTTACATCTAGTACTCCCAAACACTGGACAAGCTCTTCATCAAAATGGAAAAAGTCTTGCCCTTGAAATTTGTATGGGACCCGCCGATAGAAGGATTACACTTGCGCACCGCAATGGCTTTTAAATTGGAGCAGTATAAAAACGATCCTGTTAGAAGATGCTATAATCATATGGCATCGACTGACATCACTAATCAAAATATGGACGCGCAGAAAATAAAACACGTGGTTCATTGCGTTAATCATTCCTCATCTATTTATGTGGAGAAAAACGAAAAGCTCTCAATTTTAACCCCGCTTCGCATGCCAGAGCCTGGTTCCTCTTACATGCCGATGTGCTACAAATTCCTATGTAAGAACAGTTGTCCATCCGGCATTAACAGAAGACCAACTGAACTAGTGTTCACACTGGAGGATCTGAATGCAGGCACAATTTTGGGTCGCCGTAAATTACTAGTTAGAATATGCAGTTGTCCCAAGCGAGACAGACAGAAAGAAGAAGGTGAATCAACGCCTAACAATTCTGGTAACAATCTTACAGCCAAGAAAAAGCCAATTAAACATTCCGCACATTCGGGTAAAAAGATGCCGCCATTACACGATCAGCATGTCTATAAAGTAAATTTGAATATCGTAGGTAAAGAAAACTATTTGGCTATACTTAAATATGCTTATGATATTACGGCCGGTCAAGCAATGAAAACTGGCCAATTTGAATTTCTGAAACCGTATATGGATGATATACTCCATAATATGCCTTAACGCATAAGCGTTATGTACGTGTTATTTCATTTTATTTCACTTGTTACGTCCATGAAAATTTACCTCGAAAATCTGTCAAAGAAAAAAGTTTCTGTTCTTCTTCTAATAGTAACATAGTTTCTCTTATGTCAGTTTTTTAACAACTTGTTTAACGCGTTTCATGCCTAGTTTTACGTGATTCAGGCCACCGATAGACCCACGTTGTTCTATTACGAGCCAAATTTTATGTACCAAGTAATATGTGTCATATAATAATGGTTACCAAAGCATTTCACGATTGTTTCACCTTAGAAATAAAATATAAAACTACCCGAACGATAATTTCAGCTTGGGCTACCGGTGGCTCACGCAATGTAGAACATATTAATCCTCGAATAACAAAGTTCACGCAGGTACATGTGTGACAAGGTGGGTCGAATTCGACCAATAGACGCATTTTCATTTTTTCAACTAATTCTTCAGAGTAGGCCTCTTTTATTCTCACTATAAGTTAAAAAAATATTTAAAATTGAATAAAATAAATCGCAGAATATATATATAAAATTTGCCTGAAACATAACGCTTCACAAGCGCGTGCGCGGAAACATTAAAATATGGGTCCAATTTTGTTATTCGAAGGTTAAGTTGCCGACTCGACTTGTAAGTTTTAACCATTTCCCCTTTTTACGTTAGCTTAAAGATCTCTTATGTTTTAGAAACGTTATAATTAATGTTTTTTTTTTTTAACATGATGCATGTATTTTTTATACTATGTGAATTGATGTTCATGCACGAGAGAAGATATTGAGTAAGAGGGCAAAGTTAAAAATTGTGCACTGAGTTTTGTCGTGCGACCGGCTTGATTTTAGTCAACTCATATCGACTTTGTCATATTACTTGATAACTTCTCGGCAGAACGAAGCATTCATTAAGTAATCGTAGTGTAAAACCATTTCTTTTTTATTTTCATAGCGATCTTAATGATTAATGTGATACTATAGAATTTATTTGCATCATTTGTTAATCTATAGTATTATATCAACAAGAAATAAATGATTTTTCACGTTACATTTTCTCATACCAGCTTGTCTAGTTCTTCAATGCGCATTTTGCTCGCGACGACGATGAGTTTGACAGAACTCCGGCGCATCGTTCCTCCTCACGCGTAGAATCTATCGTCGATACGGTGATCCGCTATGCCTATTGTCATGCTGTTTAGCGATAACGAAGTCGGTACTGGCGCGATGTGTTCCGAGGTCAGCGTGACGGGATCCTCCAGGTACGCGACGTATCGGCGCAGATATATTTGCGATCCGCCGTCGTTCCACGCGTGTAACGTCCATTCCGTCGCATTGTTCGCGCACGCCATCGCGGTCGGGCATGTCATCCACGCCGCTCCCGATCCGCACTAAAAATCCATGTTACTAAGAACTAAAGTTGGCGAAGTTACTCGTTACCGTTATCGTGACTTAACAAGTAACGAGTCGTTACAATTTCACCAAGTTTCGAGGACCTCTTTTTTAGGATCCGCTTCTACTTGTTTTATATATACAAGGTGTTCCTTAAGTGCCCGGCCATACTGAAGGGGGCGATTCTCTGATTTATTTCAAATAAAAAAGTTCACGTAAACGTGAGTCCTAAACGGCTTAGTTTGCGAAATACAAAATATTGAAGCTTTCAAGAAAATGTCAACGTCACACGAGCTCTAGGATATTTTATTGAAACTAAGCGAAAGGATGTATAGAAGTGATTTTAGGAGAAGATGGATACTCTTTAGACATTTAGTACAAAATGTGATGACTTATGAGGTGGGAATATGGGAGTGAGCTGTACCTGAAAGAAGAACATATAGCCGTCGTGATGGAGCACGTAGAAGGCATCGCGGCCGAAGGGGACCGGCAACGGGATCCTCGCGCTTCTGGAGTAGAAGTGCACCTGCGGCGTGCGATGGCTCTTGATATGCTCCGGCAATGAATGGAAGTTCACCACCTCGTTGCAGAGCCGCAGGAGAGGGCACGCCAGCGGCGCGTACGACACGGAGTCCGCGGAGCCGCTGAGGACCGCCGTTTGGTGCGAGCTTAACGACTGCTGGCTTTGCCGGCTACGCAATTCATGACTCGATCCGGTGATCTGCAACGACGACGACGCCGAATCGACGCGTTGAACTACCCGCGGGCTGCCGAGACTGTCGTCCCTCGACAACTCGCCGGTGCTCGCTGATTTCGCGCGATCATTCGAGGATAATCGCAGCAAGCCTTTGGCGACAGCCGGCCTGCTGCGGACGGACGCAGCTTCGTCGATTCCCGACACCCTCGTGAGGTTGTCCGCGGAAGCGGCCTTCTCTCTGCCTCCCAGCAGCAGCCTCGTCAACAGGAACTGCTTGGGCTTCGATGTGCCGGGGTTACCCCTTGTCACGGCCACGGTCTCATGCTGCTTCTTCGCTTTGCCGAACAATTGCTCGTGCAGGCTGCAATGATCCGACGCGACGTTCTCGCCCTTCTCTTCTGGCTGACTGGTGGTCGCGTCGAAGTATGTGTCGCGGAGCACACGGTGCAAATTGTCCGCGAGGAGACACCGACCCTGGCCGAGCCGGGCCCTGCAGATGGGACAACGAGTCATCTTCGGCCTGCAGACGACGCACAGGATGTGCCCGTGGACGCATTGCGAGACCGGCGGCGCGGCGGTCTCGAAGCAAATCGGACACTCCAAAGCGCGGATCTGGAAAAGGAGATTCTCCTTCAGCGATATTCTCGATATTCTCCGAACTTTCTTAGAATATACATGTTCCGTTGGAGTAATTTGTACAATTCAGGATGATCGTCTTTTCTATATTTTATCCCAAAATTGTAATATATTACTTCTTCTATTAATCCTCTTCCGTTTAATCCATTAACTGCCAAATTTTTTCTTTTGAAATTTTGGACCGGATAAGTTATATATATGCGCAAAAAGTTGTGTAACAGTATAATTATATTCAAATTATGTTTTGTTTTGATCCCCAAATGGAGATGGCAGCTAGTGGGTTAATAACGTATGCTTGAAGGTTATTCTCTACTTGCCGCGATAACCAGCGTTCTGCTTTTTCGTGAGAACTAGAATTTTAGTATGGAAGGAAAAAAACGATTGTTTCAAGTCACAGAATAAGAAACGAAATAGTGAATCGCAAAGAATCGCAAACCGATAAAAATGTAACGGTTCTGATTTCAGTTCCGGTTCTGTAGGATTTATACAATTTCGCTACTGTTTTACGGTTCCGGCAAAAATACCGATTTCCATACGGTTTTCGGTTCCGATCCGGATTCCGGATCACTGCTATAAAGTATATTTACATCTATGGAACATATAATTTATGTTTAATGTAAACATATAGACGCACCATTCCCGACAATGCGCTCACGAGATTCTTCGTTATATCCGGAAGCGGGCCCTTTAGAGCTACTCCTATATCGTCTTGTGTCTCGTTCTTAGCGGGACATCTCCAGACGTCAAGATTTATGTAGCTTCCGCTCTCCTCATTACGAATCAAGGCAGCGATGTCTGTTATCTTTAATCCTAACAAGTCGACACCGTCCACGCTCAGCAGGCAATCCCCAACTCTGACGGACACATCGCATGATTTAGTTCAAGTTTCGCTCGCAATAATATGTAGAGAATATACACATTTATATCGTATATAGAGTGTCCGAAACTTCTCTTTCAATCGCTCACGTGAAGGTAGAACGGATTAAACCGAGCAGAAAAATACTCTATCATTTTGCAAACCGCGCAAAATTTCGAGCTATCAATGATTGAAAATCATTATATACACTCGTAGATTAGGCCTTCGAACAAATAAGTCTCTACCATTTTGCAAATAAAACGTAAATTTTTTAATTATTACTTAAAAAGCTTTTATACATGACCATTTTTAATCATTAATAATTTCACAATCACAATTTTGCGTGGCTATTTGCAAAATGGTAGAGAACTTTTTTGCTCCGTTTAACCTGTTCTATCTTCACACGAGCGATTGAAAGAAAAGTTTCAGACACCTTGTATATCAATACAAAGTTTTTTTCGAATATAAGTTGAAGTAGTTTTTACGAATCGAATGTAGTTGACGGTTCCACTTTATTCGTAAACTTCTTTGTAAAATTCTCGTGAACATGAATACATTACATTTCAAATTACATTGGTGATACGTCTGGAGAAATCTTTTTACGAATTTTAGTATTTTACCGTACTAATAATTTGGTAAGAAGCGTAAAGCGCACCTCAGTCCAGTCAAGTCGGCAAAGCTGCCGTTTTCGACGTAGCCGATCCACGGAAATGGATCCCATTTTGACTTCGTCAAGTGAAATCCAAGTGAATTATCGGATTCTCTGTTTATTCTCGGCAATTTGAGAATTATCTTTCCCGGCGCGAGCGTATTCGCGTCTTCTTCGGGCGAGACTGTCACGATCTTCACGCCCGCCGCTTCTGCGAGGATTTTGAGAGATGACATTTTCTCTCGCGGGATCGCTCACATACAACCAGAAATCACTCTGTTCTCCAGCGACATAAATACTTCTTACGACGTGGATAAACAGACAAATATTTGGGAGTCACTTTCGTACGCAAACAAATAATTCACAATGTACACCAAAAAATTTGTCGTATCTATCTTTTATTCGTTTAATTTCTCATTTGTATAATTCACTGAACACACTCTCGACATGCGTAACACGTTAATCCACACTTTGATCTCCGAGCTAACTTCGAACGAGACCAAAACTGTGGGAGCGATCGCGTCGGACACATCTCGAGAAGAGAGAAAAGTTACTCGCCTGTTTACCTTCACCCATTTGCACGCTCTTGACATTGGTTCTTACATCATACCGCGATGAACACGCTGTTTCCCCTTTACTCTAACGTACCAACGAGTGTGTATTCTTAGAAATGCTTTCAACCAGAATAATTAAGTACGACTACAGCGAATGCACACCTTACGCACATGACACGTATATATTATATAAATGCAATATGAGGAAACAATGAAGCAGGTTCCTTTTATGTATGTATATGACATAATAATGTTATATATCTTTTGTAATACAAACAAAAGTAATAATATTTTGTACACGTCGCACTTTCACACGATCGTATCAATTGCAAATTGAGATGTGGACTAAAAGTATAATAATATTTCAAGTACTTCGTATAATAAAATCTGGATATATAGAAGCTTTGTACAGGGTCCTTAACGGCTTAACTATAGTATACCACTTTCGATTTTGGTGAAATTTTACAGGTGTATAGCACTTATTAAAGTTGAAGCTACTGGTGCGGAGTTGCGGAAATACTTAGTTTCCGAGAAATTCAAATTTTAATTATTCGGCTTAATGTTTTGTTCAAGATTTCAATACGAAAAAATAAATAAAATTCAGAAATATTTTGCTGAAATGTTTCATTTTATTAATGTATTAAAAAACTGTACGTATAATGTTGACAAAATATTAATATCATAAAAAATAAGAAATTAAAAAACTCATTTTCTTAAGTAATTTTTTACGTATTTTTTTAACGTAATTATGATATAAATAATAAATAAAATTATTAGCAAAAAAAGTTTGAAAGTTTGAAGTTCTAATTTATTCAATAAAAACATCTGTCGTAGTGGCCGTAGCATTAGAAAGTACGATGAAACCAATGAAACGGGAAATTTTATGCAAATTCGAAATTATGCGGAAAAATAACAATTTTCTATCTGACGAAAAGATAAAATAGCATTGAGTACAACTTTTACTCATGGGATATGGAAATCAAGAGGATTTGGATTAAATTAGATTAGACCAACGGAGGAAAGGTTTCCCCCATCACCTGTACATCATCATATATTATAAATGTCACTCTTCTGAATATCCTTTACTTGAGTAAATGGACTGGTTGAACTGTGATAAAAGAAATAGTTGACGTGTACGCGAAACGAGAGTTTTAATTAATATAATGGAGGATCTAACGGATACTCATTTAAAAAAATAACCCCCTCTCCCAACAACAATGTTCTTTAGCAAATTATATCTTCCAGGGTTGAGAATAAGTGTTATATTTTTCAAATTTCTTTTATCAATAATTTTTTAACTTTTTAACAATGAATGATGGTTAAAACCATTTAAAGATTATTTAGGAGGATGATCTTTATAACATGTGCCAAGATCAAGATAATTTGGGATGGATGGGAGATGCTCTATTTGGGATATTCACTCACTTTTTTAATATACAAATAAATTGAAATATTTCAGCAAAATATGTTTCAATTATTTTTCGTATCAAAATATTGAAAAACGTTAAGCCAAATAATTAAAATTTGAGTTTTTCGGAAACTATGCATTTCCGCAACTTTGCACTTGTGACTTCGATTATATTTAGTTTTAGTACTATATATACTGTAAAATTTCAACAAAATCGGAAATGAATAGTTTACTAAAACTTTACTCTCTTAATAATAATTGTCTTACAATAATATATAAATATGTGTATATATATATATATACATTTTAAAGGATATGTATATATAGTTAGGATATGTATATATAGCTAGGATAT